CATTTAATTACAGAGTTTTAATTATTTTTATGATGAGATATGATATATTTCAGACAACTGACATAAAATGGTAAACTTTTCCACCTATCCATTTTTTTACTCGCTTTTCCTTTCCAAGTGATGGAAGCTGGTGCCTGTATATCCAGAGGCTACTGTATGTGAGGGAGGCGGGGASTCCCTGGACAGACTGCAAGTCAATTGCTGGCTCACATAGAGACAAACAACYATTTACATTTACACCCAGGGACAATTTAGAGTTACCAGTCAACTTAACTTTTGTTTAGTGGGAGGAAACCAGAGCACYGAGAAAACYSACACATGCAAAYAGAGAACATGCAAACTCCACTCAGAAAGGCTCCAAGGCTGGGAGGCCATCTTGCAAGCTTCTGAGAGACGACAGCTCCACCTCACCACCGTGCTGCTCCATAGGAAAGTGTGTGTGAATGAATTAAATTTGYGTATTGCAATAAATGAGCCAGTTATTATAAAGCAAAAAGATACACATTTTTGTTTGAATCATTTGTGTTGCCTGAACYAAACTGTGTTAGAAAAACAGACATGTTGCTCTGACAAAACACTAATTCAGTGCCTGATTGTTTTGATTAAAACCAGTTGGTGCAAAATTGGTCCTGATTTTCTTTTATTTTCTTCTTTTTTTCCCCTTTTTCTCTGGGACTGAAATCAGGGGGAAAAAATCAGGTTTATGTTTTTCTCTTTTATTTGAATATGCATGCGCACAACTGGTAGATGCCATCTACAACTCCTTRTAATTATGATGTGATAATTTGAAACAAATACCAAGATTTGTTGTCTTTGAATTTGTTTTCCTCATCTTTCCAGTCTGGCCCTTGATGAAATCTYGTGTAAACAGACTTGTAAAGGCAACTGTTCAAACAATGAGTTTGCATGAACCAAGATAAAAAAAAAAGATAAATAAATAAAATAAAGTTTTTTTTTCTTGCCACAACCTCGCAGTGAAATTTGGCCAACTCTGGATTAAGCGGTCTCATGCAGAATACACAAACTCAAAGTGGACATGCTGTTGCACTAACTTGTTTAATAGCTTTGATTAGTTTTTGTACACGTTTCAATTATTTTAAATTTGTTTGCTTGTTTGTCCAGAAGACACACAAAAGAGTTTGTAAAACCAGCTTTYCTGTGTCTTCTGCCCTCACAAATCACAGCAGAACTGTCTCTTCCCAACATGTCCCGAACAATAAAATGGTAGCTTTTTTCTAAAAAAGAAAAAGCAAAAGAAAGAAATAAACAATGAATAATAATATGTGCATAGAAGGAGCATGATACATTTTCATTCCTGATTTTATGCATGGGAAATGAAAAAGAAAAATGTGAGGACAACAATCTCACAGCTGCAATTTTGGAAAAATCMCTTTGAAACTTTGTAAATAAACTGCATCATATGTGTCAATATATTTCAAGCACAGTGTTTGCAATGGGGCCTTACCTTTTATATTTTTTTCTCAGTCTGGCCACAGGAACTCACATACTGAATGAAACAGAAAAGCTAATGTTAAAAAAAGCCCTAAATAACCCCAGTATTCTGTTGCCATGAAGCTAAATTGCAGTCTATACACAAAATAATAATGTGTTGTGCTTAGCATGAAAAATTAAGGGTATTTATTACATTGAGATTTCCTTTAGGTAACTTCTAAATGAGCATTTCAGAATTCTTTTTTAATTAAAAACTCACATTAGAAAAGGTAAAGCAAAGGTTCCGTTACCCTCTTTTGTTTGAGATAAAGATGGTTCATCTTTTCAGAAAGGATAAATGCATAACAGGCATTTAGAGCTGCGGGTCCAAATAATCTCTGAATACACACAGATGTCATAAAAGTGGGGGGGAAAGGTGMAAATACCTCAGGATCTATTTATTTACCATTCTGATTATAATTTCTCAGTCAGTAATTCAAGCAGCAATAAGAGCGCCCTGATTGCAAGGCTCATCAGTGTTGACATAGCTGCTGTTAGGCTTTTAAAAGTTTTTTTTTTTTCTAAAAATAAAGAAGTCAATGAGGCACAGATGAGACTCAGGCGAGKTTGTGGAGGGGCTGCGGCAGAAAATTATTCCAAATATAACAGGTCTGCTGCATGAAGAAGCTGGTTGTCCAATCATCGCTCCTCAAATGCAAAGGATCAAAATTATTTCCTTTAAACTGAAAAACGACGACACTTTTTGCAGTTTTGTAATTTTGTCATAAAAAATCATAAGCCAAGAATAGTTTAATTTATGTTTTTGATGTTGATTTTCAGAACATTTAAAAGGGTATGTGTGTAAAATAAATGG